AAGTTGAGTAATGATAAGGTGCTGGGATGAATGTGTCAGTTCACCTTTCGTAAATATTTTTAGGAAAGCTGTCATCACCAATAGATGACGTATCTGCAATATTTAGCCGCATCCTACCTGTCCAAAGTCGAACCTTCATGACTCCTGCTAAAGTCCGTGACTACGAACAGCCAGAGACTGCGAGTAGTAAGACCGCGCAGTCACCTGACAGCTTAAAAGGCTCTAAAGAGAGTGACACTACAACTCGAAAGAAGAAAAAGAAGAAAACTTCAGAGAATGGCAACACGAGTCGCTCCTCCTCCAAAGATGGAAACAACAAGAAGTCTAACAAGCGGAAGTCACCAAAAAATAACGATGAAGAAGGTCAACAGCCCAAGATACCTCAACGAAAAGTTCAGGCCAAGCAGAAGACCTTCAGCTCTCTTCTCGACAGTGGAAGATCAACCGTTGTTGTAGCTGACAGCCCACCTGTAGCAGCTCCTGAAGTGGATGAAACGGGGTCGTTTGCCGGTGGGAACTTCGGTCTCTTACTCGAGACAAAACAAGCTGAAAAACTCTGTCTTTCCTTGGGACTTCAAAAGCGAAATATCGAGGCGATGCGTCGATTTTTCGATCATGAAGAAGAACTTGGGACTGGCGATATCACAACGAACGAGTTCTTCTCCATGTTGCACGAACAACCACGACAGCTCACAAAGGGACTTTTCGAAGCCGTCGGGTTGGTCCGAAATCTTCGAAGAATCCACTTCGACGACTTCGTCATCTGTATTGCCACCGTCGCTACATGGTCCAAGAGTGAGCTATTGCACTACGCTTTCAAGCAATTCGACGTCGATGAATCTGGTGTCATGGACGGACGAGAGCTCCGTGCTTTCTGCGAAGGACTAAAGAACGATAGCAGCTTCTACTTCGAGAGTAACGTCAACAAAGCTCGAGAGAAACTGGTCATACGAGATCGGAATAACCGCTACCAATACTTCCAAGAGAAAAATGGAAATTTTTTAACTGATGAGGATATCGAGGCCAATACAGTTGTGGATCTGCAAGATTTAGCCAAAGGATCATCCGAGTTCCAAGTGGCGTTTTACCCGTTGTTGCAGTTGCAACAAAGTGTTCGCTCTTGTGCACCTGGCGAGCGATTTTGGGCAAAAGTTGCGCAACGACGACAAGAAGTTGAAGTTATTGTACACTACATGCGGATGCACAAGGGAGAGCTACCTTCTTTGTCTGTTTTTAAGAGAATATTAGCGTATTTGCTGCCGTCGTCGCAAGCAGGCAGGTATAGGCTTAAATATCAATACAGACTCCAATTTGCACAGTGACACGCAAGTGCCTTCCTGCCCTCAAGAACCGGAACTACATTGGCCGTACGAGCTCCGAGAAGGTTGGGAATTGCGAATCTAGTGTTGGTAGTGATAACTGGATAATACATTGGCCAGATCCTACAACCTAGTGAGCTTTTCATTTACTTGTGCAGATCCGACAGGTTAACCGAATTTACTACTTGGTCGGTTACACCCTAGGGGCTCTCAACTCTCAAGATCCCGTCACAGGAGGCGGCAAGTACGACTTAAAGGACAACACAAAGGCAAGGGAACACACCCGCAAGGCAACTCTACGGCCAGATCCACGATCTAGGCCCCGGATCCATAAGCTCGAATATTCGCTTAGGATACGAAACAATCCACGGACGCAGAGTGAAGATTTTCCACTGCTGCTCCACCCCATCCCCACGTCTCGCCAAGACACTCAAGCTTCACCACTTGAACTCTTCGGAAGTTACCGAGAGAGCAAGATCCCGCCCTACCGACGGGTACACAAGGTGAGGAAAGTTCAGCAGAACACGGATCATCGGGGGACCCCCTCCGTTAGTCGGTGTCTGGGCGCAGTTGGTAAGTTGGATCTGGCAATCTCGCAGATTCTGCTGATCCCGCTACACCACAATATCGTCAACCGTGACCTCCTCTGTGGTCAGTGGTACCTCCGGGATTACTGCCAGGCCATCCCCGAGATCCTCGGCGTGTAGATCCCCGCCTTCATGGTAACAGACTTGTTCATCTTCCGTCTTCGTCGGATCCACCATTGGATCCAAACACCGCGACCCTCTTTCACCTGTCAGTCATTCTGTCTTCGTGGGATCAGGTACCCTGGTATCGGGGAAGCCACCGGTTGGATCTAGTCGATCCTCTAGCGAGTTTAAACCCGACGGTTCTGGTTTGACTAGTGTTGCCACTCTCGATAAGGATCCAGGCACTTTGCCCCATGAAAAGCTAGGATCCACTCTGGGGTCGGCGGGATCTGGCGGTCCGGCTTCAGCCTTCTGCGATCCTTCATCCACCGACCCTGCGTTATCTAGGGGCCGACTCTGGGGATCATCCCCGGTCTTAGATCCAACCTCCATCGCTTGGATCTCAATCCGACGATCCCTCTGCAGGATCTTTCGCGGAGTTGGGTATGAAGGCCGATCCACCAAGGGGCCAGTTGGCCTCGCCGGGGCCTCCCCTTCTCCGAGCGATTCAATCTCGATAGTCGCCTCGTACGCCAGATTCTGCCATTCTCTGTAACGACGGGATCCCACTGACACATATCCAGGTCGCCTTGGGATACCGGCCTTCGCCAACCATCGTCCGATGTCCTCATAATGGTCCAGTAGTAGTCTCTTGTCGCTGACGTTCGTGACCTGGAGGTATTGTGATCGACCTGGTCCCTGGATTACGGTAGGCACCCACTTCTCGCCCCGGGTGACCCACCGTTTCTCATGTTCCACCCACTTTAACCGATCTGGCAGCTCCCAGGTTTCTCCGGGCTCGATCCAGGTCGTCTTATCTGCCCTTATGATCCTCATCTTCGCCCCGTACAACGGTCGCCGTCCACTGAGCTGGATCAGCATCTCGTCCGGGAAACACAGTGTCCCATCCGCCAGATCCAACCTCACTCCAGCCGGGTGGGAAGAAGAAAAATCTCTCCCCGGAGGAAGGTCTTTCTGAACCAGGGAGAATCTTCCAACCCAAAATAATCTAACCCTTATATTCAAAAATCTCGGCCCAGCGGGAACTCGGAACTCCGGTTCTCCCCATTGTTAAGGTTAAAGCCCTCTCACCACACTCAAAAACATACTGGGAATGACTCCCATCACTGGCACCCAAGCTTACCAGCAAGGCGGTATCTAGTATAGACACCTCGGCACCACTATCTAGGAGTAGGATTGCTTTTTCATTGTTGATCTTGCCCCCTACCTTGGCTTGTCTGAACCACTTTCCCGGGGCATGGTACTTCCAGTACCCACGGGACTCTCCTGTTAGCAGATCCATGGATCCAACATCCTCAGATCCACGGGATCCAGTGACCTGACAGACCTTAGGTGGATCTGCAGTGACCTCACCCTTGGTAGGCTCAAACCATCGACCATGTTGGCGCTTCTCCCAATAACCACGTGCCTCTCCCCTTTGTAGATCCAGGGTTGAAGAGACTTCGGATCTGGCAAACTCATCCACTTGGCGCAAACTAGAGATCTTGGCAGCTGACACTTCATGTAGATCACGTGTATTATCGACTGGATCTAGGGTCCTGCTACCTGGATCTAGCGATGTCTTGTTCACAAATGCATAAATGCAGTACCTAGTCGTACCGGATTCAAACCCGGCGAGCGTCCTAGTTTAACATCTTCTCGGTCACTTCTGGCAACATCCCTCGGTGCTTGGCTGGATCAAACCATTGGCGGATCTGGTTGTAGAATTCTTCCATCGGACACTTGCCGACGTCCTGAATCTCGCCACACCCGCGACACACGTAGAAGCAATGATCTCCGGGATGACCTTTCTTGCCACACTTCTCACAGACCAGATGTTTCCAGCATCCAGATTCAGTGTGCTTCCGGGATCCGCACTGCGAACACCTGACCTGGGCTGTCCCGTCCATGAGATCTCGGAATCTGTACATCCCACGGTCCCCGGGTACGGTATCCCTCGGTCGAGAGTTGTCTCCGGTCTTCGCCGTTCGATCGTTGGACGCAGTGAGACAGACTCGACGGTAATCTTCAGGGTCGGAGTCCGAACCGTCGGATCCTGACTCAGTTCCTGAGTCAGGCGCCGTGACTTGGTGGACACGTCGAGCTGGGGCCGTAGGCGTCGGAGCCATTTGGCGATACTTGCCGGATCCGACCGCCGCCTTCTTCTGGCGGTGTTTCGCGCGATCCACCGCCCGCAGCACTTCCTCAAGCTCATCTGCGTCTGGAAGACGTAACAGGGTCAGCCTGTCGGCCAGATCCACGTCTCCCAACGTCTCGATGAAATGATCCACATGTTCCCGCAGTACCTTGGATCCCCCATCCTTGATCTTCAACTTGGCTTGTAGACCGGCCACATTTAGTCGATGTAGGTATTTTAGCGGGGATTCATCCGATCTGCGGCGAGCATGGTAGTATTGTCGTGCCACCGACACTCCCAATCAACAGTACTGGGTCTGGAAGCTGCGCAGCAAATCTGGCCACTTGTTCCTGGTGGATCTGCCCAGCTGCCGATACCAGCTCCTGGCTGGCCCCGCTAGCAGATCCGCAAAGGTCAAACACTTCTCAGCATCCGACGCTTGATCGCTCATGAGGCCGACTTGACTTTGCTGGTCCATGTTCTCGCTCGGTCCTCATCTCCTTCATTGCCCGCGACTCCTTCAGGTCCGAT